TTTAGGATAGTTGATAAATTAGAGCAGAATCTCTCTTGAGTATCTTCTGAGAACTTGTCAAAGGATACTACAGTTGAACATCATAGGCATGTTTTGTGGTTGAGCCGTGTTTAAGAAAGGCATTTGTAAATTGTTGTAGAAAGAAATATCTTCTTTTGAAGGATAGCCTCTTGCTCTTCATAGACCTTTGTTGGCGGCATGTTCTGGAGTAACCGTCCTACAGAGGGGTGAGGGGTCAGCTCTCCCCTGCCTAGCCATGTCAGTGGTGCATTATGTTTCCTTGGACAAAGGAAAAGCACCTTCTCTGGTTACCTGTTTCAGTGAAGTTTTTTGACTGACATACTTTGCCAAATTCCTTTTTAAGAAAGCCATTTAATTTCTATGAGGTCACATGGGGCAATGTGGAAAATTATTCTGCCTGCATCTTAGGTTAGATCTTTTCTGCATTCACGCGGGACTTCTCTTATGGCTTGGTGTAGACTCTGAGTCTTTGTTGATTTTTGGACTTTTAAGATGTGCTTCATATTTCCCTAAGAGGTATTGAAAACTTAAAAGCATTTAAGCAGGGGAATGGGTAAGATCCACCTTTATTTAAGACTTTCAGAATCCATCTTAATAGTAGTTTATTCCCAAGAGGGAGAAATGAAAGGCAAGGCTTGTATCAACCCAGTCTCCTCAAATTCATAGGAACTATAAGGTTCCCAAGGTCAAAAACAGTGTGAAGTAACTGTTTAACTATCTTGGAGGCCACTATGTCAGAAATTCAGTGAATGGAAATTGCTCTTTAGCTGAATGTCTCACTTTGGTGAGAAAAATACCACTGTTTGTATTCTTTATGGTCTTGCCTTTCTTTATATGTTGAATTTGTTTGACTTTGTAAAGATTAAGAAGAACACATTCTAACTTCTAAATATGAGAGTTGAATTATAAATATTTTTAAATTAACAAATGGTCTCCCCCTTTTTCTCTCCAAAGTAGTATATCTCACAAACTTTGGACCTCACTGATATAAAGTGTCATTGAAAGTTTTTCACTAATACAGCATTTAAAATTTTTTATTTTTCTTTGATTTATTATTTGCAACTGTTTTTCTTTGAATGGAGAAAATGCAAAAATTGCATTCAATTTAATTAGATTGCATTGTTGTGCCCCCCTCATGTTTTAGTGGAAGCTACTAATCGAATCTTGATTTATTTTTTATTTTCAGACTTAATTTATCACATGGAGATGTCTATAGTTGTTGCATTGCCCCCACTGTATTGTATCATAATAATCTGTTTGTGCCTTTTTGTCCCACGTTATGTGATAGATTTATTAAGAGTAGGATTATGTCATTCTATATCAAAACTAGCGCACCTTCAGTCTTCTTATGAAGTTTGGCTCTAGCCACTTTAAGCTTCAAAGACTTATTTATGAACAGTGAAGCTCTGTCATTTCAATAGTCATGCTCATTTGCTCTGGTTCAACTATATATTCTGTGCAATAATGTAACTTGACTTTTGTTAAAATTGATTCACATTATTTTAAAGAAATACAGTGTTAGGTGATTGAAGCGAGAATGAGATACTTTGTTTGCTCTTTAGGTGATACTCTTGACATTGCTTATACATTACTCACACTTTTTTTTTAATAGCTAGCTTTCCTTCTATTCTTCCTCCTCTCTATTTTTACTCCTTTTTTCTTCCTTTCCTCTAATTCAAGTAGAGATGTAATATTACCATCTCTGCTGGTTTACCAAGTATTTACATCTAGAAGCTATTTTTGATTACCTGGTATATCAAAATACTTTTATTTCATAATTATTTCTTATAAACAAAATCGCACACAACAAATTTTAAAAAAGGGCTTAGCTTGTGATGGTTAATGGGAAATATGAGTTAGTAATTAGTCACAATCAAGGGTTCTTATACTGGAAATGAGAGTATTACACAATTCCTTGTAAAATTAAATTTATAATTATAAAATTATTGAGTCTTTGTAGACAGATTTTATTCTTTTCATCATTTTGGGGTAGGGAACTTTAGTGATGGAAACATTCTTAATTAGTAAGCATCAAATATGTATTAAGCAGTCATTATTACTGGTCTTATGATGAGAGGGAATCAAGGGAGAATTAGCCACGTGTGGAAAAGTTTTATAATAAAAAAAAGCAGTTCAGTTACAAAGAAGATGTATAGCTGTTGCCCTTCTTTCCCCTGGTTTGAGACGACTGTATTCTTGGAATTCACTTTCAAAACTAGAGGTTATTTTTTTAAATGGATATCTACGAGTGCAGAGAAAGGTGGGGAATTAAAGAAAGCACATAATGTGTAATAAAATACAGTAAACAAACAAACAAAAAGAAACCTACACTTACATAAAAAAGAAAAGCTATTTGTCTTGATAATAAATTGAAATGACATTAGGTGGTAGACTTATCTGTCAGGTTTTTTTCATATCCTGGTATTGATTGCAAGCTATAAATCAGTCTTTTAAATCATTTCCAAAATGATTATTTACATGTGTATGGTATACATGTGTATTTAAAAATTAGATATAAAAGAAATATAGTCTGATATATGTGAAAAATAAGGTAACACAAAAGCTTTGCATTCACAATTGTATGTTTTAACAGCTTAAAGTTACTGCAAAGTTCATTTTCTTTTATTTTTTTTAAAGATTTTACTTATTTTTAGACAGAGGGGAAAGAAGGGAGAAATAGAGGGAGAGAAACATCAATGTGTGCTTTCCTCTTGTGTGTCCCACACTGGGGAACCTGGCGCGCAACCCAGGCATGTGCCCTGACTGGGACTCAAACCTGTGACCCTTTGATTCATAGGCCGGCACTAAATCCACTGAGCTACACCAGCCGGGGAGCAATGTTCACTTTCATTGCCTTCATATACAAAAAGTAAAATGTGATAAATAACTTGCAAGAATAAGGAAATTGAACTATACACATATTTTATAATTACACAATGATTGGATATATAGGTATTAGTGATTACTAGAGTTTCTGGATTGTATAAAGACACAATGTTACTTTTTTTAAAGGTTTAGTGTCTACATAGCCAGTGGATCAAATAGCCAAAATGGATAATTATTGGCATTGTGCTTCAAACTTTAGATCTTAACAAATAAAAAAACGGAAAACATTTGGTTATGATTAAAGAACAAAGAAGCGAGGACAAAAAGCAACCAATTCAGAAAATATGGAACAGTTGGTTCACCTAATTATAACCATCTTTCTTTCTCTTTTTTTCTTCTGTATTTGTCAATTAGAAGTTCAGTAGAAAATTAACCCTTGGCCTAATTATAGAAATAAATTTGGTGCAGATTTTCTGAAATGACTTTATTCTTTTCCTTAAACTCAAATTTCAAAAGTCATTTGCAGTTTATGTTGGTCACAATTCTTTCCTTTAATGTAGTTCAGCAGTTTACTTTTCATGTCCTAAGACTTGAATTTCTTATATATCCCATCATCTCAATGTGGATGTGTTGACATAAATGAGAAGATGAAAGATTCAACTAATTAAAGAAGTTTTACATTTGAGTAGTCTGAGTTGGACGGAAGTGTCGCTGAATCTAAGCAAATGATGGAACATTATGCATAATGAAAATGATTTTGCAAATTGTTTATTGCTGCCAGCCAAGCACAAAAACAAGGACTAAGTTCTAACCCTTCTTTTCCGTAAATCTCATAGACATAAAGGTTACGGAAATTGGGATGTATTTGGTTTTCCAATAGAGATGAATTTATTGAGATGTAGTTTACTTTGTTCTTGAGTGCTGCTTTTCAGTCTTTCTTTTTCCACTTGTTGTAACTAGTATATTCATTTATTTTCTATTCATACTATATAAGAAGTTATAGGGACTTTTTTTTGTGTTTTAGAAAGAGTAAAATCCATTGACTTTATCGACATATGTATGTTATATGATCTGTTTGGTACCTAACATGTTTTTTTTGGCCTGTTATTTGAGAATCATTAAGCATTAGGTACAAGAGCAACAATGAGGAAAAAGAACCAAAACTTTCAATGTCAAAGTCATGTTGAAACATTGTAGGGTTTTACATATAGTCCAGATTTGATGGCTTTCTCTATTAATTTTCCTCTATATTTACTTTCAGTCTTAAAGTAATTACTGCAGCCCCCACCCCTACCCTTCAGATGCCTCAACTGGCATTTTTTAAAATTCCAAGCCATTTTTTCATACTGTCAAAACATTTTATATCTAAAACAGATTTGATCATGTCCTTAGTCTAGTTTGTTTTGGCTCCCTATTCATTCCTTACAGCAGGAGCTCTCAACAACGGGAATACATTAGAATTGCTCAAGAAGCTTCTAAAATATACATGTACCTGAACCCCATCATCAGAGGTTCGGATTTTTTTCATAGAAGTGGAAAGTGTATTTGCAATTTTTTTCATTATTTCATATGCCCTGTATGTCATGTTCCAACCAAACTTTTTTATCCCATCTCATGCCATTTCCTCCAGCCATCCTCAGTTCTTCTCTAGCCATGCTAAATTTAGATAGTCTACAAATAGTTTTATTCCATACCTCTATGCTTTTGTACATGTTGTCCCTAATCTCCAAAGTACCACCTTCTCTTTCTGCTCTCCCCTTCTAATCTAAGTCTCACGTCTGTCAAATAATGTCTTAACTTCCTGGATTCTCCTCTCATGACAAATCTTTCCTTACGTGTTGAAATAGCTACTCTATATTTTGTATTCAGCATTTATATTCGGTTACTTTTTTTACTGTCTTATCTCTCCCATTAAATGCAATTAATTAATCTTGTTCCTGTTTATTTTAAATTGGATTAATAATAAGTGAAAGGCTTGTTAGGAATTTAAGTATTCAGCCTTTTTATGAACATTATTTTTAGGGTCATAATGAGACATTTGTAATCAACCACCAATACCTAGGCTGATACTATATATAATTTTATTTTTATAATATATGGTACCTTTAAAACATTTATTTATTTTTCTTTTCTTTACTCCCTTGTGTCTACAGGCGAAATCTCACAAAACTGTCCCTTATCTTCAGTCACATGCTGGCAGAAATCAAAGCAATCTTTCCCAACGGGCAGTTTCAGGGAGATAACTTTCGTATTACGAAAGCAGATGCTGCTGAATTCTGGAGGAAGTTTTTTGGAGACAAGTAAGTAAAAAGTCATTTTATAGTTTGGAACCATGTTTGCAGAATGACCTAGTCCTGTTTCCACTTTTGTAGGGTGGATTTAGGAGTTTGGGAATGTACTTGAATATTTTGGATAAGTGTTTTGATTGCTAGTTTTTTCTGGTTAGCCACCAAAAGTATACCTTAATAACTGAATAGTTTTATGTGATTCCAGAGTAAATGTCAGTTATACAGCATTTATTTATTTAATGATTATTCATTGATTAATCATTAATTAATTTTGATTAACAACGATTAATTCATTCTTAATTTGTTCTAAGCAGCAGGATTGTATAAGATAGAGTTTCTTTTACATGAGATGCTTGAAACTTTTTATAATACAGTAAACATACAAGATGTGTACAAAATAAGAGTCAAAAGGGCATAGATACTTTAAAGGTGGCATAAATACGTTGCTCAGAGGGGATCAGTTGCTTCATGGTTTCAGGAATCAGGGACTGCTTTCTGAAGGAGATGGTGCCTGAGCTTGGTTAAGGTCTGAAAGTAGAGTGGGAAGAGGCATTTAGAATCCCGATTCAGGCTTTGTTTGTATCATTGCACAGCAAGCACTGTGTAAGCAAGATACAGAAATGAGGATAATATCAACACAAAGTTGCATTATATCACAAAATAGCTGGGTAAAAATTTTTTTAGGTATTTTATACTCAGACTCAAGTGAGCTTGCTAAATAATAGAAGGTGAATGTTTGAAGCCAGCATAATTTAAAACTTATAAAACTTTAATGCCCTGGCTGGTATAGCTCAGTGGATTGAGCACGGGCCTGTGAACCAGGAGATCATGGTTGGATTCCCAGTCAGGACACATGCCTGGGTTGCAGGCCAGTTCCCAGTAGGGGACGCACAAGGGGCAACCATACATTGATATTACTCTCCCTCTCTCCTTCCCTTTTCCTCTAAAGATAAATAAATAAAATCTTTAAAAAAAACTTTAAAAATTTTGTTGGGAATCCCTCAGTAAGATGACCAAGAACTGAACATCAGGAGGCTCATGGTTTCTTCAGTAACATTTTAAGGGTCTCTTTGATGAGAGTGCACATCAGAATGTCCTTACACGTAGGCAGAACTGCAGCTGAGTGTTAAGGAGGAAGAGAGATTGTTTACGCCTAGATTATGGTTCTCATCCTGTAGTTTAAAGTCCATCTGTTTGTTTCTCTCTCTAAATATATATATATATTTATGCCCTGGTGTACATATATATATATAAAATGTTGGTATAGTTTATATATATATAAAATGTTGGTATACACTTTTGGTGGTCTTAGTCCTCATATGCTGGTGAATTGACTATAACTTTTTTCTTTCTTTAGGAACTACTATGTTTATCTAGAGTTACCACCATGATTAAAATATGCTTACATAGCATTACATATTTTACTACATACATAATGTTTTGGGTTTGAAAATGTTAAGTCTTTTTCCTACTTAAATAAAAGTATTTCTGCATTATTTTTGGACACTAAAGGAGGAAATGTCATTATTGCCATTAATAAGGACATTCTGTATTCCAGAAATCTAGCTATTTACAATGTTCTGATATCCAGTCACAAATGAGAAATTTAAATAAAAAAGGTTCATCCTCCTCTGAGCCAAAAGTATATTAATTAAAATTTTGTGAATAGTAGAAAGGAGAAAGTCATTGCTGAGTTCTGGGAGAAAAAGCTGAGGGTTTCTTGAAATTATAATTCATGCATTAACACTGTGAACCTGATGCAAACAGTTGGTAACCTTTAAAATAAACTTTATCTCGAAATTATAAGAAAATCTATAGGATAAATTGTTTGTGGTATTTCTTTGTGAAAACTGAAAACTTCAGTGAGTCATGAAATTGTTTGCTTTTCAAAAGGTCAATAAAAAATGGAGAGATTGCTCACACTTTTTTCAAGAGAGGCATTTGTTTTGCTGGCACCTTAAGCCACAGAGAATTATGCACTTGAGACATTTTTACTTCCCTTTATTTATAGTCATAGACATCAGGGAGCTGAAATTTCTGTTCAACTGCTACATGAGTGAAATCACTACTAAATCAAACAGGATTCTTAAAATACCGACGAAATACTTTCTCTGCCTCCCAAAGCCTTGTACTTATGTCTGCTGTCTTCACTTACTTTAAAAAGCTACTTAATTTTTCTTTAACATTTTTACATTTGGGATGAGAGCCAAATTTAAAGCTTCTTCTGGAACGTGGACATATTTCTGTAGTCATCAAAATTAATGATTCTTTTAAAAGATCTTTGGAGGAACCATCTTTATGTTCTCTCTGGATTTTCAGCTTATTGTTCCACAGTATTTCATTGAACGAGTGAACAGATACATAAATGATAGAGTCTTTCAAAAGGTTGAATTCTTTTGTCTTCTTTATGCACTAATACTAGTTTGTATTTTCACATAACTTAGTTCTTACATGGAAGCATTCCTGTCATTTACCTAGCTACCCATTGAGGTCATGTGAGAAATTTTTTAAAAAGATTTTATTCATTTATTTTTTAGACAGAGGGGAAGGGAGGGAGAAATAGAGGGAAAGAAACATCAATGTGTGGTTGCCTGTCGCACACCCCCTACTGGGGACCTGGCCTGCAAGGTATGTGCTCTGACTGGGAATCAAACCAGTGACTCTTTGATTCTCAGGCCAGCACTCAATCCCCTTAGCCACATCAGCCAGGAAGAGTGCTTTTATTTGACCTAACCAATGCCTTTGAACATAAAGCAGTATTTTTTGCTATAAACAGGACCATTGAGAGGTTAGTTCTAAAATCAGCCAAACAGATTAAAACTTTTATACAGCAGCTTTTAGCTTAAGAAGTATTGTGGCTTTTTTTTTCTTTACCAAAAGGAACTCAATAAAAACAAAATTTTAAGATTGAATTAAAATTGGGAAAAATCTATTTTTCAAAGGACATTGTAAAACTTATAAAGACAACTTTAGGATTCAGACCTTATAAACACAAGCAGAAGGCATAAAGTCTCTAGGTGTCATATGCCTAATGCTTAATTTCTCTGCTTCTCAGCCCTTATGAAGTCATGGCAGCGCCCCAGCTCAGCTGTGCAGGGAGGGCCTGGTGGGAGTCCCGAGGGGCTAAGTGACACATCTGTGTCAGGCTCAGCTGGTTGGGAAGTTCTCTGTTAGAGTTTTATGCAAATGCACTGTTTTAATAGTTGAGTCCTGCTTTTGCTTTCTTAGTCTGTTGACTAGGAGATAGTAAAAATATGTAAGAAAAGAGAAGTGACATTATTGAATAAATATGTGTAAGTAAATTCTGAAAATGAAGCCAATACCAAACTGAATATTGACACCCTGGGTTAGTAATTTGTAATCTAGAGACTGTAAGCACTAGGCTCAAAAAATGTGTTACTTGCTGTTAGAGACGCATTATCGTATCTATCAGACTCTGGTTGATAGTCATTTTTCTAAGCAGGTACTTAAGTGCTTAAGTACTTCTTGACATTGAGGAGATATAGAGATGCATTTCCAAACAAGTAATAATTCAGTAAGAACCTTGGATTCCAGCTCCTGAATCTTCTTATGTATCCTCTTTTCCTCATCTTTGCTTCAAGTTCTGTTCTTCACTTTCAAATTCAGATTCTTTCTTGAATTTCTGATCTGTCTGTCTCCCTCCCTTCAGTAACAACCTACTCAGTTGTTTTCCTTAATGAGACCAGTGACCTCTCTAAAAAATAGACCTAAGCCTTCTAATTTTTTTTGAAGTCCTTCTCTGAATCCTTATTGATTGTGGGTTAAAGTCTAAAATCCCATCAACATGACAAGCTTTAGGAACTGTTTTTTCCAGCTTAATCTTTTTGTACTCAGTTCATCCTCAAAGAAACAAACTGTTCAGCATGCTGTACTTATTTCCTAATGTGCACCCCCTACCACCCCCTCACCTGAATCCTCTGAGTGGGAAGCCCACTTTCCTTTCCCTACCTGGTGTTACCACTTTGGAAGCTTTCTTGATGACCCTAAGCTATGACAGACACCCCTGCTGTCATCTGTCACACTAGATTGCAGTGAACTGCTGATATGTGCACATTTCCCAATAGACTAGGAAGGCGCCTTGAAGGCAGGGACCGTGCCTTCCTGATTTGTGTTTCTCAGAGCCAGGCACACTTCCTGGTACGTGTGGGTACTATAAATGGTAGCAGACTATATGAATAACTGAATAGGTTCTCCTCAATATTTTCAATGAGTTTATTATATATAAATTTATTAATTTAGTTTATTAATAATTTAGTGAAAACATATATTTATTAGAGTTATATATTGAACTCTGTGATCATTGCCTTCATACAAGCTAACCCTATTTTCAACATAATGTTTAATCCTTTAAATGGTCATTAAATAACCATTTAATGGTCATTTATACACAGCAGTAATTTTTGGCTGAGTTCATGGCATATTCTGGCATTAAAGTTCTGTCTTCCTTTCTTTATTCCTGTTCTCCAGTGAAATGGATTATTTGGCTCTTTCCTGTCTATGTCTTTGGTCATATCACTCCTTCCACTTGAAGGTTTTTATTTTATAGTCTCTGGCATCATAGTTATTACTAATCTTTAAAAATTATCTTTATTTTAATCATTTTTATTTTTCAGTCACTATTACTTACCTCTAGCGTTCACCTCACTATAGATTCTCTCCCTGTTGTTATTACTAGATCTCTTCTTAAACTTTTCTAAGCTCTCCCTTAGCCCCTGACATTACTTATTTTCATTGTTCTATTAAGATTATTTGTCTAGTAATCTTATTTCCTGTTAGATGATAAGCACCATGAAACCAGCCTTATTTATTCACCTTTGCATTTCCTGCAGTAGCGCAACACAGTGTGCCATATTTTGACTTTGGGAAAGTGTTATTCATTTTATTCAAATGAGGTGAGGCATGGAGGAGTATGTGTGAGTGTGTGCACACAGGAGTTAGAGAGGAACAGACCTGGTTTGCTTGAGTGACAGCAGGCCTGGAGGCCACCTGTG